TTGGGCCTGTGCCCAGGACCCCCAACGGGGGGCAAAAAAAAAAAAAAAAAAGGTCTCTCCTTTGCAGCCATAGTAGCTACTACGGTATAACATTCTCAAAACTGTTATTGTGAAATGAAACAGGTAAAATTTTACAAAACGTAAAATACAGAATATTTTACGTTTACAGGCCATTTATTGATTGATTAATTAATCAATTATGAGTTGTGCCTTCATACATGTTTCCTGTTTTCCCATGGATAGCAATGGCCCCAAAACATTTATACTACCATGAACCGGTCCCTGATGGAAAAAGATCGGGGACACAATATTAGCCCCAGGAGGCTCAACTTATGTGACACATTTCATTTCCTTGTACTTCTCTCTCTTCTGTCCTGCAGTGCTAAAGAGTAAAAGCGATCAATTCTTCCTCAATGGGAAGCTGGCTACTGACACACCACACAGGTTTGATGTTGCTGGAACAACTTTCCACTACAGGCGACCCGCTGATGGGCCAGAAACACTTGAGGCTCTTGGACCAATAAATATGACCCTTATTGTCATGGTAAAAAGAAAACCTGTCCACGAGATATTTGTTTATTATTTGTAGAAGATGGCAAAAGTGGATGTTATTTCAAATCTGCGTGCAGGTGATGGTCCATGAGGAGAACCTTGGAATCCACTATCGTTTTAATCCCCCTATCAACCGGGAACGACTGAATGGTTTTGCCTGGTACCACACATCTTGGTCACACTGCTCTGCTCTCTGTGCTGGAGGTAGACACGCGCCTTACAACAACTTGATGTCTCACAGGCTTAAGTCTAACGCTGTTTGTTGGAAAATTATTCACTTAATGAAGCACCCTTACATGGGCAAGTGACGCCTTGGGGACGATTTGTTTTGATTGACTTTTGTTCATTACGTACAGTATCTCTTAATGTTATTCTTGGCTGATGTTAGAAAACTCAGTTTTAAGCTGTCACCTGGCTTCTAAAAGTTTGCAGATACATCAAGGAAATTATGTGTATCACTGGCGAACATTGTGGTATTAGGTCAGTGGCACACATACAGGTGCATCGCGATACATTAGAATGTTGTCGATTATCACTTATTTTATCAGTTCAATTCAAAAATGAAACTTATGTTAGTTAGATTCACTGCACAAAATCAGATATTTAATGATCTTTTACAATCGTTTTGATGATTACCGCTTACGACAGAGCTGCCACTTGTTCCATACCACGCATTTTTTATTTGTCCTCCGTGAAGTATTTTTCCTATATGTCAATCCGTCTAAAACGGTTCAGCACAGTAGGAGCTTTTCATTGGTTGAAATTAACTATCGAAGTAAATGAAGGTTTCTACGAATGTGTCTTGTTGATTAATTTATTAAGCATTCACAATTTCTGTTAATGTCCTGTGACATAACAGATGTCCAAGAAGTGACCCTTGCGGGACATCAAATGACATGTGACTTACCAGCTAAAACAAAGCAAAAGCCTCGGTATAACTAATGTTGATGTTGTAGCGAGAATTGTTTGGCAGGAACACATCCGTTGCAGGAAAAAGCAGCAGAAGGAAAACAGTTTATACATGATAGTTGCCAAAAGAATGCAGGGGAAACTTGTATCCTTATCTCCAGGGACAAGGGTGAGCACAGGCCTTTAAACTAATTTTGGCCTTTTAATAATATAAGGCCGATAATACATCACACGTTGCCACTACTGTGAAAGTGACTTATATCTTAAGCTGCATACACACTCATGCTGAATGTTTCTCCATGCTTGAATTGCCTCGTCATTTAGGTGAGCAGATCCAGCAGGTGGTGTGTCGGAAACTATCAGATCACGCCATTGTTTACAACCACTTCTGCGATAAGAAGCACAAACCCAAAGAGAGGCGCAGATTCTGCAATACTGAGCCGTGTTCCCCAACGTGAGTGTTGGGACATCTTTTTTTTCCCCGTTGCACGTGCTGTTGTTGTACGATTATGTCAGCAGAGTTTTGATTTAAATAAGCGCTGTTTTCTTGGCCAGCTGGTGGACAGGATTGTGGTCGGAGTGCAGTCACAGCTGTAATGGCGGTCTGAGGACACGTGAGGTTTTATGCAAAAGGAGGATTTCTACATCAGAGGAGAAGATCCTAGATGACTCCGCCTGTCCCCCTTCACGCCCCTCGTTCACTGAACCCTGCAACAACCACAGCTGCCCTCCCGAATGGATGGCCCTGAACTGGTCAGAGGTAGGCAGAAGGATTTGCTCCCGCCATTGGTATACAGTATTCCCCAGGTTGCTGAGTTCAGGTCAACTCATGAACTCTGGGGCGGCAGCAATTGGTAATGGAAATGGACAGCACAAAATAATGTGGCACAGATTACAGTTAGACGGCTTTAGTTTTCCTCTTAGTAATTGACCACATACAGATGAATGTTTCATTATACCCGTTTTTGTTTGAATCATCCATCCCTCCGCTATTCTTATGTGGGTCTTGAGCGAGATGGGGCCTAGCCTAGCTGACTTTAGGCGAGGGGCGGAGTACAACCTGGACCAACCGCCAACTAATTGCAAGGCACCATTCACACTCATATTCACACCCTTGGATAATTTAGAACTTGGATCATTCACGGGTTAATTTTTACTCTGTAGTGTCCTCTGAGCACACTTGTTCAGACATTTCGGTAAATTCCTGGCTTCCAAACTTGTTCACAGTTTGACGAAGACCCTTTTCTGATGGCCAATTTGGATGAACACAGTCCAACTCCAACTCCTTTCTCACAGTTTTCCTCAAGGAAGGGAATCAGCGGGTAGACCTACTCAATGTTCCCCTTTAAGTCCGTATCGCGCTGAGCGGTGAATGTTTGTGTTTGCGAGGGTAGCGGATATTGGATTTTTCATCAGGGCTCATCTAGGTTCTTTTAAGGTCGCAGACACTTGCTGTCCTATTTGTTTTGTTTTTTTTCAGTCTCCGGTGGGACTGTGGGCGTTCCCTCATGACCCGCACTTGACGTTAATCTTGCCTCATTACAAGCTGCCTTTAAAACCCACACTTCACCAACAAATGGTCGTCGGATTATTGGCCTTGCTCATGACTCTTTCTCCAAGTGTTGAAATCTCTAGACGTTCATTTGTTCTTGCCGCATATTTGTCTCGCCACGTTTTTGCATTGTTCGTAGTAAGTCTTTGTTTCATTCTTAGTCGCGGTCTGTATTATATGCCTTCTGGGTTTTCTTGTCTTCTCATGACAAGCAATTTCCGTCTACTTTTGCAAGCGTTTTTGGTTTTTCTCGTTTTCCTGGTTATTGTAACCATTGCAATTTGTTGTACATTGTCGGTCTTGCGGGTTTTCTTTTGTAAATAAACCTTTTTGTGCAAAGTTGTCTACATTTGTGGGATCCACCCCTATCTGGATTAATCCGGAAACCTAATACTCGCCAGACGTTCGCCAACCGGTTCAATACTCAGCCACGTTAATACGGTTGGCGGATGTCTGGCGAACATCCTGTAAACGTTTGCGACCATGAACGAACCCTGACAAGAAATCATTTGCTACCTTTGCATACACTTGCAAAAGGTCACCCCTCAGTGGGTACAGGCTTTAGGAAAATGGACAGGTGTCCCAAAAAGAGTTCTTGTTGTTTGGGATTTTTCATTTTAGTTTTAATTTCATTGTGACTTTTCATTTTTGAAGATCAGTTAGTTTTAATTAGTTTTTAGGGTGGGCTTGTTAATTTTTATTAGTTTTATTTGGGGGTGAGGGGGTGTATATACTTCAATTCTAACCCTACTTCTCACTCCTAAAATGTTTTTCCTAAAATACAGTTTGCATCAACAAACTTCCAATGTTCATTCTTATCTGTAAATTAACCTGTTTAGGAAAGTGCCCAGCTAGGTTTCTAATTCGCCGTTTTGCTGAGGCATGTTAAACTATACCCTTTTGTGTCCCTTGGTGATGATGATGATGCATGTTTGCTGGTCCAATCCTGTTGACTATCTCTGTTACATTTTTTTCTGTTCCCTGCATTATGACTACAACATGACAAGCAGATGACCAACCTCATTAAACAAAGCGTGATAGTTGCACAATTTTTTAAATGCCGTTTGACGTGGTGTGGATTTTCTCTGACGTCTTTTGCAAGAAAAGTAAAGCGCATGCAAGCGAAATAACTATATCCAGCTGATTTACTGAAACTGAGCAGGCTTTAGTTTTTTTGTACAGCTACTGCCCTCTTTTGAGTGGACAAAGCTGTGTTGCTCGTGACCGCAGTGAACCCCGTGTTCTTTTTTTTTTTTTTCCCCTTGTTCGCTCTCCCTTTATCCTCATTTGCTCCGCCTGCAGTGTACACCCAGCTGTGGTCCTGGCTACAGACACCGAGTGGTTTTGTGCAAGAGTGGGGAGAGTAGAGACGCCCTGCCAGATGCCAAGTGCCCCAAGCATGGCAGACCCACCTCTCGAGTGCGATGTAACCTAAAGCGATGCCCTCCGCCGCAGTGGGTGATGGGCCCTTGGGGAGAGGTAAGCCTGTTACCATATATGACATGAATGGGCACCTTAAATGCTGGAGGGGCCCATAGTTTTTCATCAGTGCTTCTGGGGGTCCACATAGTAACCAGATGTAAAACAAAAATGTTTAAGACCAAGTGTTAGTGGAACTAAGTCATGTCTGCCATCTTGTGGTGGTTGGTGATATTACAACTTGAAACTGCATTCAACCCCTGCATAGTTGCGTTTCATTTTTGCAGTTTTTTTATTATGTCATGCATGCGCCCCCCCAGTTGCTCATCCCTAAACTACTATTGAGATTCCATGTCATCCAAAAAAAAATCTCACCCACCAAAAGACCCTCACATATAACCAAAAAAACTCACATTTACCAAGAAAGCTGTTTAGAAAACCAAAAACTTATCACACTCAGCAAAAAAACCTCACTTCCTCTCAAAAAACCTCTCACTCACACATACCTCCCCCCAAAATCAAAACAACTTATCCTATTTACCAATAACCGCTTTACTAAAACAATAATCCTCACATAGAGAAAGAGAAAAGCCATTTTTCTGAATGAGAGTTGAATATTGTGCATTTGAAAGTAAGCTCAAAACTGTTAACGGACGCTGTCTCAAATCTCAAATGCTGATTGGCTTTGTCATCCAATGAGCACCTCCCTCGATCTGTTGCAACTGTCACAGTGGCAACACACAGGAAACGTGTCTTTTAGTGTATGTAAGAGGTTAAGTGAAATGTTTGTGATGTTTTTGGGTGATTGTTTTTGAGAGTTGGAGTTTTGTTTTTTTTTATGTATGTACAGTATGCAGGAGGTAGATGTTATTTTTGCCCTACAGTATGTCGCCTCATAAAAGTCTGCAACTTATCTATACTCCATCTTTCAAAAAGCGGTGTTACTGTGAGCACGAGTTGGCATGCAAGTATGTTTTTGTCTCGCAGTGTTCTGCCAAGTGTGGGCTGGGTCAGGAGATGCGATCCGTGCAGTGTCTGACCCACACCCGCATGCCATCCAACGAGTGTCTGGAACATCTGAAACCCGCCTCCATGCAGCAGTGCAAGAGCAAATGTGACCTCATTATGCCCATCAGTACAGACAATCCTGAAGGTGAGTGGTCAAAGTGAAGACAAGCCAGTTCAGAGAGATAACAGCCTAATACATTCTCATCTGCGGAGGCACGTCACTCTCAAGGCCAGGCCAAGCCTTTTAAAGCCAAACACATACAAAGTCGTAGATGATACAGTGTAAAATGTGAAGATGCCAACCCCAAATGGACAAAACTGAAACCTGCACCTCACATGCATATTTTGTACAGTGAAACTCTTCTACAACGAAATCATGTTTGCAGCAAGAAATCTTTCACAACAGGGGGTTTTTCACTGTAGCAAATTTGATCTCAGATGTAAACACACACACACACACACACACACACACAAACGTATGTGTACACGCACACTCAAACGTACGTGTACTATTTATTTTTATTCCAATAGTGCATAAGTATGAGCATACACTTATTTGACACTTCATATAGTCAGTGTAGAAAGAAAAAAAGGAGAAAGAAATTGCGAAATTTACGATCAGCATTCACTTTCACTTACATCAATTTCTTGGATAATGTCTTTTATTTTGCTTCCTCCGTCTTTCATTTTGATCACTTTTACACTCTCTTCCAGCGTCAGAGCTCTTCTTGTCTTAGCTGCTTGACATCCAAAGGTCCGTTTTGGAGCCATTTTAGCAATACAACGTTCTTGCTGCGTCTGAAACTAACAATAACAAATACTTCCTGGACTACTGCGCATGTGTAAACCAGTGTGGTGGTTGCTGTTGGATTAGACTTCGTTGTAGTGAATCTCGCCGCGAGGCAAGAGCAGAGAAAAAGATTTCGCATAATGCAACAGGGTTTTTTTTCATTGTATGGGGGGCAGGAAAGTGGGAATGATGTTAATGCGTGTAGATTTTTTCACACTAGGGGGTATTTTCGCCCATGTAGGTTTCGTTGTAGAGGAGTTTCACTGTACTAGCAATGTTGAGGAATAATGCGTACATGAGTTTTATTGGTTTCTCGAGTAATGGACGCGATATTTTGGAAAATATTAGAATCACAAAATATTCGATAGCTGCAGCCCTTATTGATCCATCCATTTTCTATTCCGCTTATCCTCATGAGGGTCGCGGGCGTGCACTGGAGCCGATCGCAGCTGTCTTCGAGCAGTAGGCGGGGGACACCGTGAACTGGTTGCCAGCCAATCGCAGGGCACAAGTAGGCAAACAACCATTTGCGCTCACAATCACACCCCGGGACAATTTAGAGTGCATGTTTTTGGAATGTGGGAGGAAACCGGAGTACCCAGAGAAAACGATTGCAGACACGAGGAAAACATGCAAACTCCACACAGGAAGGCCCTAGCCAGAATCGAACTCTCCTGTTTTCGTAGACAGGCGCCCATTCGTTCGCCATGAAGATGCATCTTCATTTTGATGCCCGGTAAGGATGCAGACTAGCATCTCTCCAACAACTAGCTGCAACTTATTTTGCCTGGTCTGGGCCTCAGAGTGTAACAATATTCTGGGGTTTCAAGTCTGATAAGTAAGTAAAACAAAGATGTTGTCATTCTAAAACTATTTTATGTGTCGCCCCTGCAGAGTGCAAAGATGTGAACACTGTGGCCTACTGCCCCCTAGTGCTCAGGTTCAAGTTCTGCAGCCGGCCTTATTTTAGACAGATGTGCTGCAAGACATGCCAAGGACACTGATCTGGACTGGTGAACCTCACAACACACAGACACACTCACACACTCACAAAATGAGCCTTGCGGCAGCAACCTGGGAAGGCAAAGCTTTGATGCTGCAAGACACCCATGGTGGTTTAACAGTTCTGAGGGACTTCTTTGCAGCCAGAGGCCATGAAAGAGCAGATCCCTCCCAAGCAGCCTGAGCTGAGTTCTACATTCCACTGGCGGAAAGGCTGCTGCAACCTGTCCTCTGTTGTAATATTTTTGGTGCTACTTCTGCAGCCGCTTGTTGGCTACAGGACAGGTTTCGGTGTTTTGAGGGCCACTTTGTGTTTGCTTTGGCTTCGATGTAAAGAGGCCCTATTTTTGTTCAGCAATATGTTTAAATATCCACTTTGTTAAGAAAAGGAGCCCCCATGAAAAAGGAATATCGTACATTCTAGAAGGTTTTGTCTAAGTTACCTGAAAGATGTTACTTGACCACAGTGTTTCTGTTTTTTTTTCTTGCTAATAGTGTCATCCATTCACAGCACTTGTACAGTATGCAATTATATTTGTTTTGACATCTTTTGAAATACTGACTGCAGAGAACCTGTGTTATTCATCTTGCGCTCCACATCTTTTTGTTTTTGTTCTCAGTTCTCAAAAATAGCTTCCTGCTGCACAGGACAGAAAGCCACATTTTTAGCAGTAGCAACTTCGATTTTATGGGATGCAAATTTGTGTTGCAACTGTAGGGTATGGCAGCTTTCAATGAAATCTCCAAAAGTAAAGAAGCCCGATCCTATGCTGGGACTCACTATTTTTATCACATTAAACACCTTACTCGACAGTCTAAGTAACTTTAAATATAAGTGGAAATTCAGTGTCAGAGTAAGAGAGCCGTTGTGACTCATTGTCTAATTATACACTGTCTACTCTGTGGGTTCACCACATGATTAATAATAATCATTCAAACCGGTGAGAAGACTTCTTCCGTATATGATGGAAAAGTATTTAGGATGTACACGATACAGAAAAAGTCATATGACAAAAGTAACACTGGTCAACAAAGATTTACAACTATTTTTAATCATAGATGCAAGTAAAGGTTTAGCAGTGATTTTTTATTTTTTTTGCACTGATTCCGAATCTACTCTAGCTTATTTCTCTCGCACATCAGGTTTTGACCCATCCATCCATTTTCTGATCCGCTCATCCTCATAAGGGTCGCAGGCGTACTGGAGCCTATTCCAGCTGTCTTCGGGCAGTAGGTGGGATACAACTTGAACTGGTTGCCAGCCAATTGCAGGGCACACATGGACAAATAACATTTCACACTCACAATTACACCAAGGAACAATTTAGAATGTTCCATGAAGGTTCCATGCATGCTTTTGGACTGCAGGCACACGTAGAACATGCAAACTCCACACAGGAAAGCCATAAGCAACTCTGCTTTATTCAGCCCCGTGAACAAACACACGAGACAGCTGGGGAGTGTTTCTGTCCGTCGTCAGCAAAATGGGTGTCTGTCATTGACGGACTGAGAGGTCCGTTGGTACTTTATCCCGTCAGTGACGGATGAAAACCCACTTCCCTAAGTGCTTAGTTCAGGGGTGTCAAACTCATTTTTGTCATGGGCCACATTATAGTTATCGGTTCCCTTGGAAGGCCGTAATGACTGTAAGGAGGTATAGCAGAAGTCAAGCAGAATGGTTTATTCAACTATAGTTTCAGTTAATGTAATGAGGATTTTGGTAGCAAGAAAACTTACAATAGTGCTCTTATATACTACATACAAGGATTTGAAATTTTGGTACAAATGATAGCAAGCATCATAGCAGTCAACATGTTTGATTTGTTTTCGCGGGCCACATCAAAAGATGTGTCGGGCCAGATCTGGCCCCCGGGCCTTGAGTTTGACACCTCTGGCTTAGTCCATCCTTTATTTTTTGTATCCTGTCATTTGTCACTCATCAGAAAAACAGGCATAAGTCCGTTCATCACTGACGGGCTTAAGTCAGTACTGGCGGAATGCCCACCTCTGGTAATATATTCGCTAATATTTGTCAATTAAGGGTGAGGGTCAGCAACAGGTGGAATGTTTTTCGGAAACATCGTAGCTATAAATGACAACGCATGGTAAAATTTGTATTTCGCAAAATTTCATTGGTCAAAATTAAGACCAAAAAAAAAAAAAAAAAAAATCTCCAAATCGCTATGTGCTAGAAACAAAAGTAAAGACATTTTTGGATTAGCATAAAAAATACATTAAGGGACAAATTAAGCCTTCTCTGATTAAAATTTGCCATTGACGAGTTTCATTAAACCAGATCTTTTAGTTGTATGTTACAGTAATGATGTATTGTTCCAAAATCTTGTCTATGTACCCCAGTCTCTTTGTCCATATAGTGTGATGTTGCAACTTGGTGGCCCAAACACACACCCACGCACACACTTGGAGCTTCCTCAGTGCTTCTAATAACTATTTCCAAACTGTTATTAGTGGTACTGTGTTTACAGACATGGTTTTTTTTTTCTTGTCATCTGTGTGTCATTTTTGGAAATGCTGCTAAGAAATCGATGACCATCTATGACAGCATCACACTGCTTTGTATCTGTGACCTTGACAGACTGCAGCTCTGCATTCATATTGCTTTTCTTTATCATGGTGCTTTCCTTTGGAAGGGTGCTATTAATTCATTGCTATCATATGCAAGTTATCATTTTCTCCACATTAATCATATATTGACAAATCCCTCCCCATCCAACCAGAAAATATACATGAACATACACTTTGAAGTTGAAGAATGTCTCTGATTAGTCGCTTCTTAAAATACCAATCTGCCCTGTCCATTGTTTTGAAAAGGAAATATTAAAATGATTAAACATGGTACAATGTTGAATGAAAATGAGCTGCCTGTGCTACAATTTGGTACATTATTAAATGTCATTATTTATAAATGATGTGTCTTCACTTGAACAGATGTGGCTTAGTACAATATTATGTTCACACACAATTTCATTTGTCACCTAATTCAGTTTCCCCCCCAAAAATCATCTTCCCTTTTTGTGTGAATCATACATCCATATGCATTTCAAAAAACAAAAAACAAAAAAAACAACCTCAGAGATCCAGTTGGAAGAGCTCTCTGAGAAAATCCCCTGAACACCCTGAGCAAATTCTGATTTGGGGCCCCCGTCACACCACTGCATTGCCACCTGCTCAGTGTTGCGTTAGTGCGTTGATTTTGATGTTCACGTCACCTCACTCACTCACTGCCAGACAGCCCCACTCTGAGTACCTGCATCCTTTCATGTGATCTTTGGACGCGGTGCGCTCCGATGCCACAAACAACATGACGTAATCATAGCCTGGGTTGAGCTGGCTGCGCCATCATTTCACAAGATTCAAAGATAAGTACACCTCCTGGACTGGTTATTTTTGCAGGCTGCTAGTTAGCGCATCGCAGTGTTAGGCCCATGAATTGCTGTGTGGCAGAAATGGAGAAGTCCTAACTTTCGCTCGTGTGGTAAGTGTGTGCAATTTTGTGTGCGTGTCACCCCCGAGCAGTTCTTGTTTCACATACAGCTTCTGTGACTGTATGAGGAACAAGTTTTAAAAGCTCCACTGGATGTCTTGTAGACGGAAGGCGCCTCTGACCTTTCTTGTTCCGTGATGGCCATCTGATCGTTTTCAACCCGATTACACTCACCGGAGAGTGTGCACCTGGCTGAAGCAAGAAAGGAGAAGCCCACTGAGACGATGGTACTGTGCCTCACTTTGTTTTCATCAGAGCTTCCTCCTTTTGATCCACTTCTGCGCTCATTGACAATGATTCCGGGGATAAAGTTGTTTTTCTGACAACCCAAGTTTTGAGTGATTGGTAGCTTGAGTAAAGCTGTGCGGTCAGTTTCCTCTTTTGGAGAATTTAATAATTCTCCAGAGGGTTGGCTTTGTGCTGGTCGAATATACTGGTTGCGTGTCATTTGGAATCCAACTTACAGTCAAATTTGATTCGCCTCTGAAATTCGACATGGAAGGTTTGAAATGAACATGCCGCATGGAGAGATGAAGGACATTTGTGTTTCTTAAAGCCGTATAGCTCCTCCCTGCATGGCATATGTCCTGATCTTGAGCAGTGTTTCACAACTTGTATTTGGCCAAGGCATCCATTTTACATCACACAAAATAGTTACCAAGAGAAATAAACACTCAAATAATGATGATGTCGTCTCACTTTACTAACAAATTACTCTTCTGAAATCTAGACTTTTGAAATATGTTGCATGAAGGGCAACAGGTGGAGACATTTTTTTGGGGTGGTGGGGGGGGGTGGATTATCTTCTGGCTTCAGCTACGTGCAATCACATTTAATTGCTGTGCCATTATTTTAGTTAGTTTTTTTTTTTTTCAACATTTTCTCCAGCACCCCTCATCATCTCCCACGGCACCCTAGTTGGGAATCACTGTCAACATTCCCAACACCGCACCTTAAATTCACTCCGAATTACTGCATACAGTGTCTAATTTTTCTGCGGTATATCTTTTCTAATTTTGCTGCTACTTCATACCACCATTTTTCTTCAGGAACCTTCAGTAACTAACCGAAGTGTTACAATACGTTATGTATGCCTGAATGTGCAGGAGATATCACAATCGCTTTGGTGATTTGGGCTTTGTGCACAAAGTTGCACACTGAGATGTAGGAAGTCAGTATGTAGAAAATTTCAGCCAAGTGTTACAGGAAACTGCAATGAGGTGTCAAGGGGGAAGTGGCAGACGGGGGCTTATAAAGTAGTTTCTGGCACAGCACCGCCTCATACTCACGTCTTCACACAGCGTCCATACAATATATTTTTTTATGACAGGACTGTTTCTATTAAACAAATGAAAACAACAGCGAGGGGTGACAAATTATGCCGATGAATGCGACTTGAATATGTAAAAGGATGTCTATAGGCATCATTAACAACTGCATATGTCTCAAAATACTGTATATTATGTCTAAATGCTTCAACGTTGAAGGAAAATGTGAGGTTCATACAGTGATCTCGACAGAAACTCAAACAGAAAAACTGCAGAGTGTACAGTGTTTGAGGTCGTTTTTCGCAGTTATTTACCCGTGTCATACAGGAAATTGATGATACATTTTTGAAGCGTCAAAAACCCTCAAGTGGGATGTCTCATTTAACATACAAAGGCTGTAGAATGGCATTCCTATTTAAAACTTAATTGAAGCATTTTAATGTTGTAAAAACACATGTCACATGTTGACCTGCTGTACTTTTTGGACAAAGAAGTCTTGCCTTTTTACTCTCTTTAGTATGCGAGCCTGGAAGCATAAATGTTATCTTTCGCCATCCAAATAAAATTCCTCATATAATGGAAATATGAAATAAATGGTATCCTTTCCATTTTTTGGGGTGGGGTGGGGGATGGTGGGGCGAATCTGAATGTTAAAAGATCTGTCTTGATGTTTGCGTCTGTGTATTCCATGGCTCAGGCAAAGTATCACTGGCAGAGTCAAAATGTGAAGCAAAGCGGAGTGGACGACATGGTCCTGTTGTCCAAGATCACCGAGGACGCCATTGTGGAAAACCTCAAGAAACGATACATGGATGATTACATTTTTGTATCCTTTATCTACTTCCTGATTCTTTCATTGTTGTTTTTATTCATGTATCCTATGAAAGTGAATCACTCGCAGTTAAGACTGTGAGTGAATATGATGTCATCCACAAAAGGATGGATTATTATTACTGTACTGTAATAAAAATATCCGTCCATCCATTTTCTACACGGCTTGTCATCATGAGGGTCGGAAGTGAGTTGAAACCTATCCCAATTAGATTCGATGGGGAGGAGAGGTACAGTACAGACCGGATGGGTCGCCAGTCAAACGCAGGGCATACATGAACAAACAACAATCCAGAAGCTTCTTAATGATGCTGCACAGACTTACATTGGTCCCGTGTTGATCTCCGTCAACCCATTCAAACAGATGCCATATTTCTCCGACAGAGAAATTGAACTCTACCAAGGAGCAGTGAGTTGGCTTCTTTTATCTTTTGTCACGAGCAATATTGTGTTTTGCAACCCTGAACTTGCTATCGTTCTTGTGTGTGCTTAGGCCCAGTATGAGAATCCACCCCACATCTACGCCTTGACTGACAACATGTACAGAAACATGATGATCGAAGGAGAAAATCAATGTGTTATTATCAGGTGACCGCCACATGTTTATGTCAAGCTTTTTTCACTTTGTATGTTTTTGTATGTGTGTGTGTGGGTTATACCCAGACACAGTGGCGGGCCGTGCATTTCAACCTTAGGCCTTCAGTGACGTCACATACATGAACACAATACTGTACAGGCTCGTCAAGCAGCACTTAATTTCAGGAGCATTTAAAACCATCAAGTATGCATTCACAATTAAGAGCAGGAAACTAAATTTACAGATAGTCAAAAATAAAAAGATGATTTAAAAATACGAAATAAAATGCCACCCAAATTACGCTGTGTGATCTTAAACAAGTCTGTCCAATAAATTGCGCAATGTCGCAGTTTCATATAAGACACCAACCAAACAATAACAAAACAAACTATTCTTTGAAAATAAACAGATCGTTTGCATTTTGAAAATCGGCGATACAACAGCAAATAACTGAAAATGTTGAGCAGCTGAGATTGAACGAACTTTCGTGCACGAAGGTGACTACAATGCGCCATTATAAATTGCAGGTGAGCAGATTTATTTGATACATTTTTGTATCTTTGTCATTTTATTTCGTTACCATGAATTTAATACTAACGAAATAAAATGACAAAAAGAAATGT